TTCCCTACAATATTCTACACCAATGGCTCTGCAACCTTATTTTAACTAGTGATTAACAATAGGCTATTGCATGCCTGTTTCAAGACATACTTGGTGGACTGTTATGGGATATGTAGCTTTTCCACAGGTAAACTAACAAGTAAAACTGCATGCGTGTATGCTTCAAAGCACTTTTCAGAAGCCGATGAATGTAAAAGTAAACGGATCATACACAGGTATTTTCCAGACCCATCTATTTTCTACTCATTTTATACACTGGCAATGCTGCTTACTACTACAACACAGTACAGTCTTCCTCCCAAACAAGAGACTTTTGAAAATAGTACAATTTGCTTGTTAAATTAGGCAAGGTAAGGGTTTACTGATTTACCTTTGTTTTGAAGCCACACCGACAGTAAACAGTTGATGTGCGAGAGCACGGTCCACATTCACCTTCATGGCAGAGGTGCTCACATGTATGAATGAAATCTAACACAGATGAAAAAGTAAAAATATTTGCTAGTTGAAGTTTTTGATTTAACATGCTGGTCCATGATATATACTAGAAAATGAGCATTTGAGGCCACTGATATGATGCTTCTGTCTGAATAGGCTGCTAAAGGCAACAGTTACTCCTTTAAATTATCCTCTTTTAGCATCCAATGTGTAAGACATTACAGATTATAATAAAAACGGTAGGTTCTACCATAAGATTTTCTTATTTAGAACTCTGTAATAAAACATGTTCTAAAAGGTTCAGAACTGTAATTGTTCAGTTCAATGAATTTATGGTCCCTAACTCCAGTTCTAAAATATACTATTAATGCTAAAAATATACACGTTGCTAAGCAGTTTTACATGAATATATAGAAAAAAACCTGTTTTATCTGGGAGTGCACTGGACATTCAGAAGAATTCTGGTTAAAAGCCATTTTAAAAATCGTGAAGTAAATGTAGCTCAGCATTCTTCTTCAAGCAATGCATTAGAAAGTTTGTCTGAGCCTCCTCCCAACCCCTACGTTACAGGCATCAAGCGATTAACTGGTTAAGTGCACAACCACCTTGAGACCAGCTACATGTGCAAAGTACTTACGCCACAGAAAACTCCAACCAGCTATAAAGTCAGACCTGGAAAATGTGTACTAACTTTATAGCTGGTTGCTATTGAGCTTTAATTTGAACATGAAGCAGGGTCTATGTGAGAGGCAGGGATTTTTGTGGGTGATGTCTTTTACTGGACCAGATGTATCTTTGGGACAGACTCAGGCCCCCTCTACACATTAAGGCAGAGGCACAGCGGGATCTAATGTGCAATCCACACAATCACATCTCTGGCCATGTCACATGTGCATGACAGAAGGCACATTTGTGGAATTATGCATTAGATCGTATCATGCCTTATTGTCGGTGCAGAAGAACCTGATCCTGGGCTCCTGCCCTGGCAAGAAGCAAGTTCCCATGGCTGAAGGCCCCCTCAGTTCACTGGGCTCCTACCTACAGGGGTGCACCATACCCAGCCAGTGCTAGGAGTCCTGCAACTAAAGGGACTCTCAGCCCCAGCAGCTGCTGACTTTGGGTTCTGGCAGCACCACGCAGCTGCCAGGACTGAGTCCCACAGCTGTGAATGCTACGTCCTGGCAGCATGCCTCCCAGTGCCGGGGACCCAGTTGGGTCCTGGCTACGATCTCCCAGCCCTGGGGGTGCGTGGAGCCCTCAGACCTAGGAGATTGCAGCTGCTGCAGTCTTCCAGTGTTGGGGGCTCCCCTCACTCCTGGGGCAGGGAGCTGCAATCTCGTAGCTAACTGGGGCTCTCAGCCACTGGAACTTGCTACTTGCCAGTGTAGGGGGAGCCCAGGATTGTCCCCCTGCACAGGCAATAAGGTGCAATGGGATCTAATGCACGATCTCATAAATGTGCCTCCTGCCAAGTGTGTGTGGCATGGCGGGAGATGTGATTGTGATGATCATGCATTAGATCTCATTACCCCTTTACCTGCACTTGTAGGGAAGGGCTGAGTCTATCCCCAAAATACAGTTAGTCAAATAAAAGATATCACCCACAAAAAACTCTTTGCCTCGCACATAGACCGCTGGACCATCACAGCTACAAAAATCACTCCAACACTACCAAAGAAAGATATCAAAATTTTCTGCCTACCATGGAAAATTTACAAACAAAAGAAAAAAAAGGAAGCTGAGGACAAGTGGCAAGGTGGGCAGGCACCAGGGTGTGGCACACCACTTGACTCCCCCACTGCCTGCCCCCAACTGGTGGTTGACCCACTGAAGTGATGTAGGAAAAAAAAATTAGCAGTGTTGAAGGACCAAACTTATTCCCTATGAAGTGTCATACTGTGTTGGAGATGTATTAGCTGGAGTGTCAGATGCATATATAGAGGTAATATCTCAATGAATAGTCTTCACTGAAAGCTGGTATAGACATTAAACTTGATAATGATTCAAAATTAGTTTAGTTTGGTGAGAATCGCATACTAATAGGGGAACAAAGTTGGCCCTTAAAAAATGTTGTGATGGTATGCTGAAATAAAACAAGTTTTAGTTGCTGTTAAAATGCTGAGAACAGCTAGATGTAACATGAGGAAGACAATGTGTTACTTGAGATGAAGACGGTCCAGAACAAGTCGGAAGAAACGTAGCAAAACCCCCAGTTTTTCTTTTTTTTTCCTTTTAAAATGCATTTCCTCCCCTTCCCCAACCATTTCTGACTTTGTCTCCCCATCTCTATTCCCTATAGATAAGTATAAGTAAGCTAAGATGTAGGATAAGCTTTAACATTTTAGTTTAGGTAGTAAGTTTTATTTTTCTCTCCCGTCTGCAAATAAGTGCCCTGCTATTTTGATATAGATATCCACTGTTTTATAAGTGATAATGATTATGTTTGTACTGCTTTTATACTGTGTGATTACTGTTTTAGGCCTATATATGTAAGTTAGCATAAGTCATGTCAAGTTTCCATCTTGTAATGTCAACCCTCCATCTTTCTTATCCCCATGCCCAGTTGTGTAACCCATGATTCACACCTACCCCTCCCATGTAACTTGGTTCCTGAATGAATGGGGATGAATGTGGGTGCTTGAGAGACAATGGCAGTAGGTCTAAAAATAGCTCCCTCTGAATGACTAAACTATCAACACCTGGACCAACGACCCAGCCCTTGGAACCACCCTAAGCATTCAAGAAACAAAAGATGAGGCAACCCACCATTGTGCCAAGGCTGCACATGCTCAGTAAGAACACCTGGAGCCCTCTGGAACAGGACTGACCCTGCCTGGACAGGCCCTCCCATAGGAGATCAGAGGTAGTCTGCCCCATAAAAAGCGGTAGTGAAGACTGACTCTTTGGGACGCCCTTTCCACCTGGACTAGACCAGCTCCACGTCACACCGCCTATCCACCCCAGAGGCCCTGCCAGCGACCCCCTCTGGACAACACCGAGCTGAAGGAGACCCTGACTGGCCATCAAGGACCCACTTTCAGCCTGGGATAGGTAGATATCGCCTGCATATTTCCTCCTCCAATTGGGACTCTCTCTGCTCCCAGACTTCAGCTCCTGCACCAAGCCTCTTTAACCCTTGCTGCCATTGTCTGTGTGTGTGCGTACAAAGGAACCAATAAGATATCATGTCACCACCTCTCCTATTCAATAAAACCACTATCATTTGTAACCCTGAGTTGGGTTGTGTTTTACTGAGCCCTGGTCCCTTCGCTACCTTAAATTCTGGTCTCTCTCTCTCTCTCTCCCCCTCTTGGCTCTCAGCCCTGTTCCCGCCACTTTTTGCCTCCTCTGTCCCTTTTCTGTAGACTCTCAGCCTTGCTCCCACCACTGTTTGCCTCCTCTGTCCCTTTTCTGCAAGCTCTTAGCCCTGTTGCAGGCTCTCAGCCCTGTTCCCGCCACTTTTTGCCTCCTTTCTGCAAGCTCTCAGCCTCGCTCCCGCCACTTTTTGCCTCTTGCCACCTCTTCCCAATCCTTATCTCTATGCCTTCTCTTTTACTTTCTCTTTCTCTGTTCTCCAGCCTCCCCCACCAGCAGCCCCACTCCCAGTTTTCCTCTCCCCACGTACCTCTCAGCTCCCCTGTAGCCTCCTTGCTCCAGCTCCAGCCTCTGGACTTCTCCCCGGCATTGCTCCTTTGCTCTGCCAGCTGTCTGCTTTCAATTAACACCAATTAACCTTAAGTTACCCCAACTTCCCTCCAGTCTGCCGGTTCTAATCCCAGCACCAGCAATTTTCATCTCAGTCTCCACAAGCAGTAATCCCAAACCTCAGATCCTCAGCCTCTCTTTCTAGTCTACCAGTTCTAATCCTGGTCCTGGCAACTTTCACCCCCTACACTTTCACTCTCTCTTACCTTAACCTTCCCCCAGGTATCCCAAGTACACCAAGCACATACATACATCCACACACCACAACACCCAAGTTAGGAACTCACCTGTGTGTATGTGTAGGTGAATGGTATGTATATGAACTGATATACATGTATGTCACTGTGTGCATGATATACAAATTAGTGATCAGTGTATGTGTATTAGATGTGCAGGTATTGGTAATTGATTCTGGTCTAATTTCTTTTGGTATGTATAGTGTGTGTAGATGCTTGAATTGGTGATAGGTGTGCATTTGCCCAGGCTGGTAATTTTGGATGTGTATGTGCCTGAATTGGTAGTGTGTGCATGCACGCCTGGTTGGGATACATGCACCTAGAGTGTGTGTATGCGCCTAGCGTGTGTGTATGCACCTAACTGATTTTTGAGTGTGTGCATGTGCAATTGCACACCACACCCTCCTGTCTAACAGCACAATATTGAGATCCTGAGAGTTGGCCTGACCCCACAGGGCAACAGAAAGACTGGTAAGGATCAGATTGGCAAGATCCTTGCCAGTGAAGTAGAACACCTAAAGTATAGGTTCTTAATAGCACACAAAAGCCCAATAAGCTATAAGTGAATATATTGCCTTAAGATGTCAGATCCTCTTTCCTGCTGTAACTAAAAATCTCTAAAACTGATGCTGATCATCCAAGCTTAGTGAGGAGTCCAACAGGAGCCTGAGACTCTCTCTCAGTCTCGGGGTCCTGAGATTGAGAGGACCGACTGATTGAAGAAGTCCCCCACACAAGCGTGCCATCCAAGGACTGGGTGTTCAGCTTCAAAAAATAAGCAAGTGAGAAAATGACACAACGACTATTGCTTTGAAATCTACAATTTCCCCCTGCCCAATTAAACTATTACCACCTAGAGATGCATGTGATCTGCCTCCTTTCAGATTTTAGGCCACCCAACCAAGGCAATGAAGAGAGACCGGAAAAGGCTGTATTTGAAGGTGTCTCTGCTTAACCCTGTAAAAATGTATGGGGAGGAGGGAAAAGTAATTTGCCCATTTAAGATCTACAAATGCAGAGGGCAAAAATTTTAATCTACACAATGTGAGAGATAAAAACAAGCATAGGTCCAAACTTTCCTGGGTTTGCTGCTGTAAGGACAAGCAGGTATACAAGTCATTGCAGTTTACTTGTTAGACATTTTACAGATTGGATTCCATTTGACTTCATTAGTATAGCATGGTAGCTAGAAAGACTCTTGTTCATGTTGGCTACCAGTGAATGCCCAAATACATCTCCTGCCCTCTTACTGGCCAAAGGCTGAAGCTGCTGGAACCTCAGGCTAACAGAAAGAGCTTTCCCTGTGCCAAAGGGATCAAACCTGACAGCACAGTTCTAGTTATTCTGGAGCTGACCCAAAAGGTTACCCCACACATCTCCCATTTTTCGCTCTGCAGCAGAGAAAAGTCCTTGCAGTGGTAGAAACAGAATGAAGTCATGGCTGGCCCTTCAAGGACAAGGTCATGCCCTTCCCTGCCAGTGAACAACAGGGCTAGTCAGTCTTCAAAACAACAGACTGGCTGAAGACCGATTAACACATTTGTGTAACTTTACATGAGACCAAGAGGATTTTAACCCAACTTGGACTGACAGAGAAATGTCTGACTTGCTACAGGGATCTGGACCCCCTCTACATCTCTGCATGGTGGGAGAGCAGAGGAAGAAGAACATGAGATAACAGGCAGGGGTTTATTTTTGTAACCTCAAGGGACATAGCTCTCTAGACCAGTGATTCTCAGCCTTTTTTAGATTTAGAGCATCCCTCCACAACTTTCTGAATTTGGCAGTATCCCTGGTTAAGAACCACCACTGTATGGCCCCAGCTGACCTCAGTGGCTCTAAACTGGGGTGCAGGTGGAACTGTCCCATGTACTTCTACTTTGGGGAAGAAGGGAACAGGACAATGACTAGGAAGGGCAGTGGCACAGGTAAGTTCTCCTGCCTATTTTAGGCTTCCCAGATAATCCTAAATGCAGACAGGAGCACATGCTTGAGTCCCAGCCCTCCCTGGACAGGGCACTTGTGCTGTGGCACCCTAGGGTGCTAGGGAACTCTGGTTAAACCATTGCTCTATGATGTTCTGCAATTATCTCCCCAACAGAAATGTATCACTAGAGCAGGGACTCATTATGCAACAGCTAAAGAACTGGTCAGTTAAATTAATTTCTAGACTGGTGTACTTCATGGTTCTCAACTACTACTAGGATAATACAAATTCTATTGCAAGCTCTGTTGTGGCTTGTAATTTCAAGTCAACTATCACCAGATCATCAGAAAAACATATTTCTGTTCAGGCTGGATTTTCTGTTAGCTTCTTTGTATATGAGTTTTAAAAATTTGAACTTGAACTACCTGTCTGTTTCAGAATGATATATAATTAGATTTAATGCAGAATGTTCTAATTACCATAGTTACCACAAGAAAGAGGTTTGCCACATGTCTTTCCACATGAAGGGATGGGATCTGTGCATACTTTCCGTTCAATGCATCCTAGCTCAAGTAATTTGCTAAGAGGAGTCTGCCCACAAGGGCAGCAGTGCACTGCTTGTGGAAGTCGTGGACAAATCTGGCAGGGCTGAGGATGGCACACTTGTACGCAGCTGTGTCTCCCACAGTTTAATTTTCTAAAAAGAAAAAAAAGAAGGCATTATATAAGGATATCATACTAACTGGGCGTGTCTACACATGGTCATATGGCACCGTTGATACCACACCATCATTTAGGACTTCACTGTGCTTTGCTGTGCTAGCCACGCACAGGGTTTTTTCGCCATACATCGCCATAGCGACGTGCTATAACAGGGGAGCATGTCTCTACGGTGACATAGCTGCAGCGTGACGTTTGTGACCACTGATGCTACACTGCTGTAGTGTGCTGCTATGGAGACACAGCATCTTGTAATAAAATGTAATCTTACCTGAGTTTTTGGAGAGAAAAGGGCTCTTACCTGCCACACATCTTCTGACAGGAGAAGTTCCCAAATCCATCAGAGAACTCTTCATTCGTTCCACACAACACATCTCGAAAGCTGCTCCCACAGTAACACACTAAGGAAGAAAAACATTCAGAAAGGAAGAACAGCAATATTACCACAAACAGCATGGGAGGATACTGAATATTATACATACACAACTGAAGGGCATGTGAAAAAGATAAATGTGGGAACTGGTATAAAAGCAATCTTTAGGTGTACTGCAGATGCTGTAGTTCAGTTGCATGTATTTCAGTAGCTGCATGGAGGCTTGAATTTTTACATTATTGCTATTGAAAAATATATTGCAACTCAGAGAGGAAAACATACTACATGGCCCACAGTCTAGATCAGTAAAGTATGATTTGACTGGCAAAAAAGATAATGCATCTTAAGTATGGCCAGTCATAGACATTATGCATACACCAGTATAAGTGACCAAAACCCCATCTAAACCCATTACAGTACAGAAGTTCAGCTCACGTAGACTAGTTTAAAAATGGTAGAACCTGGTCTAAGATAGATCCAGATGGATGTAGTATCAGGCTTAAGCGATTTAGGTAAGAACTTCTGTACCAGATCCCCTCCCAACTCAAGTTAGGTCGCAGGCTCCATTGGAATCGCAGGCACCTTTGTGGGCCCCCACTCCGATCCCCTCCCTTACATGGAGGCACGCTGGAACTCGGCTATGCTTGGCTGCTCTGAGCTGTCGGCAGGCAGGAGTGGGGAGGGAGTGTCCATAGCTCATGAATTTTCTATATTTATATGATGTCTCTAGGTAGGGGGGGCACTCCACTGAAGCCAGAATTGCGCCCCTTGGAGCCCCAGAAAATTACAGGTGGATCCAGCAGGCACCCGGCACAATTGCAGGAATCGTGCTGGGCACCTGCTGCCACCACCTGCAATTTGCTGGAGCCCTGAGGGGCCCGATCCTTCCTTCTGTGGAGCTCCT